CTCCATGGATGGAAATCAAGAAGTCAAGGAAAAAGGGAGAGAGAGAGAAGGGCTCCTGCCTGCCCTGTGGGGTAGAGGCGTGTATTTAAAAGACCCCCTCCCAAATGTCAGCCCCCGGGCAGCTCGGATCTGGTTTGATTTAAAAGGAGAAGGGAACGGGTAGGAAGCAAGCTGGTCTCTCCGCCAGCTTGTAGCACCCCAAGACGGGGTGTACGGGGCTGGGACAGGCCAAGGCACCCGGATCCGGCCTTTCTGCCCGCAAGCGAAAGTGAGCCGAGCGAGGCGAGAGTTGCCCAGGCGGGCGGGTCTCCGCGGAGATGATCCCCGGGGGGCAAGCTCCAGTGTGCACGAGGGCTCATCCCCGGAGAGGCTGCGCCACCCCGGCCGGACTGGAACTGGGGAAGACAGTGCAAGCACCGGGCAGCTTTGCCATCAGGCCACTGCCCACCTCTGGGTTTAGGGAAGCCGGCTTGTGTGTGTCCCCCACCCCCAGACCTCCTCCCGGAGCCCGCCGCAGATGTGTTTGCTCGGGGTGCGGAGTTCAATCTGAGCAGCCGCTAGAGCTCGCCCGGGAATTCGTGCGGGACAGCTCCGCTGCCCCGTCTGATCCCCACGGCCGTGCCGAGCCTGCGGGGCAAGGGGAACAGGGGCAGACCCGGGCAGGGTTCAAACCTGACAGATCCGGGGGCAGAAGAGTGTGAGTGAAGGAGAACCTGCAGCAAGGCGAGGCTGAGGGCTGGCCAGCTCTGGCACAGTAGCCGAGAGCACCCGCGTTGCACGCGAGACCCGATCTAGAAGGCGTAATCGCTGCCCTGTGCAAGCTCTAACACACAAGTACCCTTCTTGAATAGGGAGGGAGACAGCAGGTACGGATCCTCCCGGTATACATACTCATGCACAGATAGGCACACGCCAATACGTATAGTCTCTCCTTCTTCCCCTCTAGTTCCAGCTTGTATTTCTCTCTTCCAGTTGTGTGTGTAAATATGCGTGTGTGTGTGTGTGTATATATATATATACACACACACACACACACACGCACACGCACACACACACATAGGCATACACACACCAGGTTCATTGCAGATCCAGGGCCCCCAGATCAGAAGGGTTTTATACCAACTTTTAACACCTGATCCACCCACCCAGCCCCGCTGCAGGCAGGGAGGAATTCAGTCACCGGGGCCTTGCTTTTTAAATGTACATCCCTCGTGTGTCATCCTTCTCCGAAGGCGCGGAGCTGTCCCCTACCCCGGCCTCCAAGCGCCCTACCAAGGCCAGGGCGGCGGCGAAGCCCCCACGCGCCCATGTCAACCAGCCCCCGGGCAACCGCGAGCCCATTGACTCGCGGCGGAGCTGAAAAGCAGCTCTCAGCTGAAGGGACTCTCGGCCCTTTAAATGAGTGGGGGGCTCCGCTGTCATTTCCACGGGTCCCTTTCTCCCCCTCGTCCCTGCAGCAGGCCGAGCAAGCAGAACGGGGGAGTTTCTTTAAAAAACAAATGGAAAGAAAAGTAGGGGAAAAGGAAAGTCCCCGGCTGCCCTGAAAAGTTGTGAGACTGGCGAGATGCGCGCTGCGATCTCCAGCCCAGGCAAAGGCGAGTTTCTTTCTAAGGAGCCCATCCATGGCAAGGAAACGACCTAACCAGAAGCAGACCCAAGAGATCCTGATCCTTTCCCCAAGAAGCGCTCCCATACCGCGATGGGGCTTTGCAGTCCTCTGGGTTTAGCCACAAAAAAAGAAAAAGAAAAAAAAAAGTCGAACAAAAAACGCCCTGGATGGGGTTCGGGTTGCTTTTTTTTAAACACAGCATTTTTATTAAAATTCTTATAAAAAAATCGAAAACCTCCCAGTAAGCGCGGTTCAGCTGGAAACATACACAACGATTCGCTAGAGATTGCTATGCAGGAGGTGTCCGCGAAGAACAGACCTGTGTCTTTCCCTTCTACATTTTTGCTCGTTGAATATATATATATTTTTTGGGGGGTCGGGGGTGGGGAGGGAGTTGCATCCAACCAAAAATCAACTGAAAATGAAACGCCCTGAATGTTTCTTATGGCAACAATCACCACAAATATTTACAAAAAAATATATATAATATATAATCAATTCGCTACGAGTTGTCAGCATTTACACATGGCCGTAAATAAAGTTTCATATATACAGCTACATATACAGATATATAGATATAGATATCCATATATATATAGATAGATATAAATAGCTCTATAGATATCTATATAGATAGCTCTGTAGATACCTATATCCGTATAGGTATAGATATCTATATAGATACAGATATCTATGTACAGATATAGCTATATATGTATGTATGCGTGCGTGTATACACACACGCACATACACACACACACATATACACACAGACATATATCCATATCTATATCTATCTCTCTCTATATATGTGAAACTTTATATGTACATATATGAGAGAGAAAAATTAAATTCTCTCGTCTCTGGTTTTCAAACTGGTTCTCCGCTTGCTCTAGAGAGGACTGACAACAGCGCTACAGCACACAAACGTACTTTACAAAATCACAAGAGCATCCGTGGGTATCATGATCATTTTGTGTGTGTGTGTGTTGGTTTAATTGGAGCCGTAGGTAGACAGAACCATTTGGGATGGCGCAAAAATCTCTGTAAACATGGCGCACAAAAAACACCCAGAAAAAAAAAAATATATATATATATCTATATATATATAGAAGGAATGAAACCGGACCCCCAAAAATAGATATGTGGAGGGAGGGAAACAAAACAAAACAAAACAAAAAAAACCCCCAAGAAAATTAGGAGCGGGGGGAAAACAACCAAAGTCCATAATAATAATAATTATAATAATAATAATAATATTAAGAGTGTCCCCTCGATAGTTTCGCGTGTGAAACACCAGTCTCTCTCTTTCCCTCGCAGGCTCACCAAGTCCATTGTTGGGCTTGCACCAAGTGATGCGCTGTGGGGTACTGGGGGTTGCTGGCGGAGCTGTACTGGGCGTTATATTGCATGTGCTGTAGAGACTGGGCGCTATAGGCGGAGAAGGGGATCCCCGCCTGGAAAGTGGCGGCAGCCAAGTCCTGAGCTTTGAGCGTGTGGCAGGGCTTGCCGTCCCTGACTAGCACCGGCACGGCGACCCGGCGCGGGGAGGGGAGAGGAGTCACTTCCATACCTTTCTCGGCCCGGGCCCGCTTCATCTTGTAGCGGTGGTTCTGGAACCAGATCTTCACCTGCGTGGGCGTGAGGCGGATGAGCGAGGCCAGGTGCTCCCGCTCGGGCGCCGACAGGTCCCGCTGCTGCCGGACCCGCCGCCCCAGCTCGTAGGTCTGCGCCTTGGAGAACAGCCCCCGCCGCTTCCTCTTCTTGCCCGCGTCCGCGCCTCCCGCCGCCTCCTTCTCGTTGTCCGGGGACTCGTCGGCCGACGGCTCGGGGGACTTGGCGGCCGCGTCCTGCGGCGCGGTGCCGCCCGCCAGCCCGTGCACTGCGGAGAGGCCACAGGGGCAGGGGGTCAGCGCGGGGCTGCCGCCTGCTCTGCCCCGGCCACCACCCTCCCCCTTGGCAGCGCCTGTGCGCGGGGCACGGGCCGCCTCGCCCGGGCACGGCGCGGGGACCCGCTCCGGGGGCACTGCCATGCACACGCGCCCTGGGCATGGCCGGGGGGGCTACGCGGGGAGGCGCGCCCACGTGTGTGTGGGTTGGGGGGCTCCCCAGCCCTGCGCCCACGTGTACATAAGGGTCTCACATATATATCTGCACGCGCGCACACACAGATCTATAGAGATCTATATACAGGTATATATACATACATCTATAATGCATGCATACATATCTAGATATCTATACAAAAGTCATAGCCATCCGTCCCTCCCTCCTACCTCCATCCCTCCAAATATATACATACATACATATATATATATGTGTGTGGGTATCTATATCTAGCTATAGGTATAGATAGAAACAGATATACACACATGCATATCTATATGTGTATATATATATATAGAGAGAGAGAGAGAGAGATGTCTCTCTTTCTTACACCTCTTTCCCCAGCTACAGGGCTCAGGACTGTCTCTTCCAGCGAGTCGCTTTGGGGGGCTACGTGGATTGTTTTTTAAAGGATAATTCAACAAGCCGTTCATTGATCCTCCCCCCAGCCGCCCCACCATTGAGACATTTCTGAACTGTCCAACACTGCCACACAAGGCTGGCTCTGTTTATTAGTAAAAACTTGCCCCGGGGCTCTTTTTTAGACCTCGGAATGAGACTTTCGTAATGTTTCTTTTTTTCAGGCTGGGCTTTCGTTCCTTCTTTCTTTCCAGCTCCCTTTCCCTCTCTCTCAAGAGAAAAACAAAATCTCCTGGGGGAAGCAGGAGACTTCCCAAGCCTTAAGCAGGGCGATCGGAACCCAGATCCAAGAAAGCCTCCCCCCAGTGCCTCCCTGCGGCTGACTTTACTTAAGCCCGCCAGTGTCAAAAATCAAGAGCCGGGGGGCAGGCGAAGCCCGCAGCCCCCATCCGGGCGGGAGAGCGGCTCCTTGCCCCGGAGCCGAGGAGCCGGGCGGCGGCGGGTGATGGCTGGAAGTTGCACTACTTACAGGAGTACTGGATGCTCTCGGTGCTCGCGAGCCAGCGCGTGTAGGGATTATCGCTATTATCATAGAAAGGGTTCTTCAGAGGCAGCGACTGCACAGCGTCCAGGGGGCTTTGCCCCAAAACTCCTGTTTTCTTGGGGGGCTCAGAGCCCTCGTTCTCCTCCTCGGCTCCTTCCGCGATGGATCCCTCTTCATCGTTGGTGTCGGGGAGATCCAAAATGTCCTTTACAGAAAACCCGGTCTTTGTGTTGGTCAGAGACATATTCTGGCCCCGAGGAAAGTTGAAGCACCAGTTTGTCAATCCTCCTGCTTCACGCACACACCCCCCCACGCAAAAAAAAATCCCCAAGCCCCACGCACCGCCCCGCACACCCACACCAGCCAGGAGGGAGGGGTGCGCGCGTGTATGTGTGTGTGTGTGTGTGTGTGTGTGTGCCAGGAGAGACTGCAATAAAAAAAAAAAGTACCCGCCGTCACACAGCTAGGAGTGGGTTAGATGGAGATCTAGCTAGCGGGCTCTATATATTTTTTACAGGCTTGCTCTGCTCTGGAGGAAAATCATAGGAGCCCGACTGACAGCTGGTTGGTGCAATAGTTTGTAACTCCAGGGAAAAAAAAGAAAGAAAAATTGCCCAAGTGCCTTTACTTCGGGGTCTCGTTTAAGCACACTGAGCGATTGCCTGCTGCTTGCAAAAAATAAGCCATTGCTGGAGTGAGCAGTCCATATAAGGTTGGTCCCGACACATGAACCTGCAGAGAGGAGGAAAAAAAAAATACATTAAAAACGCAAAAGGTTGGCCACGTGTGGGCGGGTCTTAGGAGTCAAGTGGATGAAGACAGTGTTTGCAGATGTGAAATTGCGGGTTTGGGGAGGACTCTCGGAGACTCTGCCATTGGTGCTGTAGCACATGATGAGTGGTATAACGTGTCAATTAATTACCAAGATGGGGAGGGCCTTTTCAGGCCGTATTTACATACAAAGGAGCTCCAAGCAGCCTCGTCCTGCTGCACACTCCAAAGTCTGCGCGGTTTAACAAATTGCCTCCAAAAAAGCACAAAAAAAGGAAGGAAGAAAAAAACCACCCAAACAAACCGAAACAGCAACCACACAAATAAATAAATACGAATACTCATAATCGTGCACACGCTCACACGAATGTACCAGCCTCGTCTCACCCTGCCCTGATGCGAAACTCGCTTCGCAGCAAGCCCGAAAGCGGACTCGCCTCCCTATTTCCCAAGGAGAGCTATTCAATTGACTGGTCGTTACCTAAGCGAGATGCTGCTCAGATGGCAAGAGACCAACTTATGTAAACCTCCTAGGTCAATATTTTGGTTGAAGCTTAAGGATAAGTACTAGAAATTAAACAGCAAGTAATTGATTCTAGTTTGCTTCGAAATCAACCAAACTGGCAATGCACGGGATCATTCAGCACCCACATCGACCGGGGAGACCGAGGGGAGGGTTGTGCTTTATTTGCAAAGGATTTCTTTCTTTCCTTCTCTCTCTCTTTCCTTCTCCTTCCCTAAATAAGATCAAGTGGTTAATTTGCTCGGGTGGCCAGGCTTGAGAAGCGGACTCCGGAACAGGAGCATCTTCCGGATTTTTCACCGAGGCTGTAAATTCGGGGGGTCGATGTATTTTTTGCTTTTAGCAAACCATTTTATTAGGTGAGCGCTCTCACAAGCACCCAGGTATACCCGCTCACACGCGAACGCCGCCTGCACGCACATGATTTGCCATCAGAACAACAACCCAGGGTGGTGTGCAAGGATACATTTGTGCACCCACCAAACGCACGCATGAGCTGGCAAAAAGAGGAACAGCACGTCTACAGATATGCACGCACACATATGCGCACACGCGGGCGAAATGCACATTTCTGGGCATAAAAACAGGAGCAACATTACAGATCTACGAGCACACATGTGTACCCACGCACGCTCACACATTATCTGGTGCACGAATACGAGCACACTCAGGTAACTAGAGCTGTACAAACATAGATGGGTGCACACACAACGTATTATTTAGCATCAGGATAATAGCACACCCCACTATCAGCATACATAAGTGCACACACCAAACACATTTGGCATAAGAAGTGTCACAGGCTCAGGTGTCCCTACATATACGAACACACATCGGTACACACCACCCACGTTTTGGCGTGCGAGTGGCAGCCTCCTGAACTTGAAACTTATGGTGGGGGGCGGGAAATCCTCCTTTAAAAATTGCAGCCTTGACTAGGCAGCTCGGCTGTCCCACACTTCCCTGCCTGCTGCGAGACTGAGATCGCCTTTCTCTGTCTCTGCCTCTCCCCCAGCTCCACTGCAGCCAGCTGAGATTTGGCGAGCAGAGCTGGGAGTCCGCGAGGGACACGGGGCAGAGGAGATGATTTCCCAGCCACTGTGTCTTGCCACCAACTTTTCTACCTTCGCTGTCGCCTGCTCCGCGGCGCGCTGGGTTGAGCGCGAAGGGGAGCCCTGAGCCCAGCCCAGTAGCAGTCTCCCATTCTCTTTCTTGACCTACTAACTGCCCCCGGCCCACCTCCATGGGATGAGACTCTCTACAGCTCAGGGCATTGTTTATCTCCTGGAATAGTTGGGTGGGGTTGTGTGTGTGTGTGGGGTGGGGGGGATAGGACTTGGCTACATTCAAGACTAAATGCAACTGGACAGAGTGATTCTGGATGAGCCCTGCTTCTATTTTCTGCCAAGGGAAATACAGGACTGGGGGGCGGGGTGGCCCTCTCCTACCCCATTTTTGGGGACCCCCTGCATTTCTGCTTTTCCTTCCCAAGACCGGAGAGGCCGATGCTAGAGGAAGGCTCCTTTCGAGCCCTGTATTCTTGTTGATCAGTTTATTTTTGCCGGTCCATCCGCGCCCCCCCACCCAGCCC